CGAGACAAAACATCTTGGGTTCAAATCTTGCAGGGGGTGGGATCGTTGATGTGCACTGCTGAGAAGTTCCATACTAGGACGAAACGGCCGTCCAGTGCTTCCTGGTTTTCCATGTTGGTCTAGCTTCAATTGACTCATGAACTCAACTATTTAATGTGTAAGTGATCACAATAGGTTTGTGTGACCAAAGTTTATGGTATTTAAGAATTTCTATTGCATATTATGTGGATAAAGGGTGTAATAAAAACAATGACAAGATTTTAATAAATCATTATTTATATATAACAACACTGTACTCAGTAATCGTTAGCATTTGAGGTGGAAAATTCAAGATGATTACGCTTGTAGAGTTAACAACGGTGATACGTACTCATGATTGAACTACATGAAAATTAGGCTCTATAGCGAATTGGATAAAAATGGTATGAACGTTTGGTCTTACCGCATCACTGTGCAGTGAACAACACCTGTAAATAAATAATTCCAAGGAATCGATTGAACAAGTATCAACCATTTTCATCGTTAGGCATGTTGGTAGTAACTTTTCTTAAGACAGAGATATAAGGATAAGTAATTTCTTAGTATTTGATTCTTAATGAAATTGATTTGACATTGATGCCAACTTTTTTAGTGTTCGGTGATCAGTAAATTGACCTAGAAATAATCAGTTTCCACAAGTTTATGGATATCCTCCACGCTGATGATATCTTAATATTAATTTATCATAAAAAATTACTGGCAACGCTTAGCTCGCACATATAATTAATAGCAAGAAAACGTTTCAAACGCTGTAGCATGTCATATAAACATATGGATTATTTATGCTTATCACTTATTCATGTCAGTCTATAGCATTTAGAGATTAATGAGTACACTATATTCATTTGTTTCAAAGTTTTTTAGTCCTCTGTAGTGAAGACGAGTAGTGTTATACTTATTACTTAAATTATTTTAGGTATTTAATATTGTAACCATTATTGTGGTTGAAAAACATGCTACTAAGTATCTATTTCAATCACTGAAGACAGATTCTACTAGAATTATCTTGATTAGATCATCAAAACAACACGGGTGAATTCGTAAGGTGATATTAGAAGTTAAAAATAAACTGAAATTTCAAATGTATTACATTCTTACAGTTGAATTTAAGGAATCATTTAAACAGTTAATAAAACCATTATCATTAGTGGCGGCCTGCTTGAATATCTGGGCTACCTGTTTTTCCGATCTAGATATTTCTTCAAGTTATCTGTTTTGTTTTTTGTTTTAACACATCATTATGTCTATTGTGCTCACAATGTATTCAGGCGCGTTTATGAAAAGTTTACAACCTTTGGCTATACGGGATACAAAAAGATACAATCAGCGACACCATGGTGGCTGGCAATATGCATTGAAACGAATGAACATTAACCAAATGTGGATTACCGAACTTCTAACATCTAACTGGTCATCATTCAAAATTTATCGTCACAATCGATCAAGATATAAGAAAAGGAAACTTGTTGAAATACTTTATGCTGAGAATTCTATGTTGTACCAAAAATATAATGTTGAATAAAGCTTCTAATAATAATAATAATTATTATTATTATTATTCCAATTTAACTTTGATATTAAGTCTAGAACTATACTTTGTTTGAATTCTGAATCTTTGATAATTAATCAAGAGGGAACTGTCTTAATTATTTTATGAAGGAAAACAATATTAAACTTGATCTAGTAAAACCACCATATATCTTAGAAATTATCGACATTTTCATTTAGTAAAATATTGCGATTAACTAATTATGTTGCTGATAATTGTATAGAGCCTCAAATTCAATTAAAGAACACTTTGTATTATTCTAATCAGTCCAAAGCATTTGTTTTGCTCATCAATTTGTATATAAATATGTATGACAATATACGTTTAGAAAGAAAATATCATAATTGGAGGTTTCATGATCGAATTTCACCATAAAACTTATCTAAAAAGATTAGGCAAAATTGAAATCCAAATGAAATCTAACTGAAGAAGTAAGAAATGAAAATATTGATGATCATGAATCTGACTTGAAGTCAAGCACATGCTCAAACAGAGCTGATAGAGAATACGTTGCTCCACTAATTTTGGAGTTGAATAACTTAACTTATGTTTAGTTGAGTGGTACACACCGTGAATAGAGTATATTGAGTCTATAAGTAAGTTTGTTTGTTTATTACCTAAACCAGCAGTTTATTAAAAAGGAAACTGATAATTTGATTATCCACTAAATAGATCACTGTCTAGAATATTTTACGACATTCAGCCTGAAATTGTGAAACATTTTAGAAAACCAATACAGGAACTGTAGTTACTTGTCATTGAATATTCATACACATGTAAATGCATATATTCGCTGACAACGAAATATAATTATAAGTTTTTCAAAGCGAGCACTTGTTTGTTAGAGCATCATGTTTCATGATCAATCAATTCAACTAAATATTCTTTTATCTTATATTTAAGCTACGATTCTCCACAACAGTTACAATTATTTATACATCTGGTAACTGTGCTATATTTTACAACCTATTATTATCTGTTCCGGATCCTATTTAGAAATAGTTTTAATATATTTCAACCTTGAGCACCATAAAATGACCAAATCGGAATGTCAAGTATTTCATAACATAAGTTTTTATGCTCTTTAGACTGATCTGAAAAAAGCAGCATTATAAATATTCGTGTATTCTTGACTATAATAAAATACTATGATACGTGTACACAGTGTAGCGGTTGTATTGTTGTACATCTAACTTCTTCAGTAATTAGATGAACAATGTTTAACCGTTTATACGCTATGTAATGTTTATTACAGATAAACACTACCAAATTACGTAAGCGTATGAAACTTGTTCAAACATTTCTCAATCAACTTACATAAGATTACATCGGGATATCATTGGACTACGGTTAAAAGTTCCTTATAAATTCATTACGTAAAACCAGGTGATTCAGTAGACAATTTATAAAGATATCGATCATTTATCGTTGTCATTGATCAACGTAACTAGAGTTTCTCAAAGCACTACTCAGAAATTAATGTGAAAGCATAAGTAAGCATATGTTGGCTGAGATATAACTATGAAACTGAATGTGTAAAATGAAAATTAAGCTGATAGTTACTCAAAGAAAACTAGGTATCTCCTGTCAATGTATCTTAGTTAAGTTATGTATAATAACATATTTAGTCAAAAACGTGATATAAATGGTTATATATATTGGCAATCTTGCCTCATTTTATTATGTTGGCGATTGTGCATGATAATGTTTTGACTAAAATTTAAAATATCAGTTGAATTAGTCAGTTATTTTCAAATGTATATATTACACTCGAAGCAGAAGCACCTTTAATTTTTTATATCCACCTAAAAGTTTTAAATTCAATTTTATCAATATAGGCTTATGTCAGTTGTTTAGTTTTTATTGAACTCATGAATTAATCAATATTAGACATGACCATTGAAAATCTGGAAGCACTGAACAGTCGTTTCGTTCTAATATGGGACTTCTCAGCAGTATACATACACAATCCTGCGTGCGGGGCTCGAACCCAGGACCTCCAGTCTCGGTCGCAAACGTTTAACCTGTAAATCACTGAGTTTATTTCATTTAATAATCAATTCGCATTGCCAGAAATAGTGTGAAAATTGTATAAAAACTTATTTTACTCCATGTATTACATATTATGATGAAATCATTTTATCAAATACTTTAAACATTAGATGTAGATTGTATGTTTTCATAAATATAATAATCTAACGATGGCGTATCGAAAAATCAGCTTTACAATGTCAATTAATTCATTATTATACCAGACGAAATAAACAACCGTTAAACTATAACATTGTAATAATCAAATTTAATGAAGTGAACTAATATCTCAATATATTATCTTATCCAGATCTCTTGTATTCGATCATAACATCGCATCAGTTTTTCTGTTTGTAATTTTTTATTTAAATACAGAACATTTTTTTATGATGGATTGAGCTTAATTCATTTGCAACCCAGTTTTCATTAATGTCCCATCACTTAGTTACGTAGTCACTTAGTTTCGAATCAATGATATTTTGGCACAACAGAAATTGATATCTTGAAACCAACTTTTAGATTTTATAAATATTTACCTTTTATTTAACTTAATTTGTCTGAACATTTGCTACATCATTGTGAAATTTCCTCAACCTGAATCATAAACCGATTTCACTTTCATAACTATTTTCAACTTTATCTAAAACCTTGAGTTTGAAACACAATGGGTTGGATGATATTAAAGATAAAACAACAAAATGAAATAACTTCACAGTATTCTGTTAAAAACGTTATTTTTGTTCAAAATAAGCACATAAGAGGATTATAAAGGGAGATAGACAGTGTTTGAAAGTGGAATTTAGACCGCTCAATTCGTCCTATATGATGCTCATCAACCTAATGTACCTGCCGTTTTCTTCAAACGTCATCGCATCATGCACTTAGCTACTGAGTTCAGATAGCCAGTGTCTTTTGCAAACAATCAATACAAATAAATTAAAAGAGACCTTACGTATGAAACATGAATCTATAAGAATATTATTTTAAGAAATAGACTACAGACTAGATTAGTTGGAAATATAAATACAGCAAGAATAAACCTAATCAAGTCTCATATCTTATATAAATAAATTTTAGTTGTTCAATTTATATCATACTGTTCTGATAAACATCTTATTCTAACCACACTACCCTAATTTATAGGAAGGTACTAATTATTCCATAAGAAAAAATCAATGTTTAAAAGGATTTCTAAAGGATTTGCTATATACTTCGTAGATTTAAGCTTATGTATATCTTCCAAAAAAGTTTACATCTAGTTCAAATAGTAGTTTTATATTAAAATAATTAAGTTTCAACTTTTCAATTAAACTAACACACACACACAAAAACAAACGAAAACGTTTATAATTTTAAAAAATATCACAATTTATCTACTTACCATATTGTCTTTCACTGAATCTTTTATTAATTTCTCTGAACATCTTTGTAAACAATGTGATTTACATACAGCACTAGCAATAATTCTTAATTCAGTTGAATAAATTAAATTATTCGATGTTACAATTGGTATAGATGGATCAATATGACGTTTACTTCTAGAATTAGAATGTTTTATTTTATTATGAATTTTCAATAATGAAATGTTTACATAATTATTTATATCCAATAAATTTTGATTAGATTCATTTGAATTAATTATAAACATACAGAATAATAGTAAAGTAAGAATTTTATTTAAATATTTGGTTAAATAAATTAAAATGAACATAATATCATGATATAGGATAACAAGAATTAAATAGTAAACATTCTTTAAAAGTATTCAATATGTAATAAATAAACAATTATGAAACTATTATTTATATATATAAATATGAAATAATAAATAAATCTATGAAATTTATTTAAAATTATTTCTAGTTATTTGATTGGTTGATTGTGGTTGAAAAAATATTAACCAATCAGAATGATAGATTTTTTTAAAAAAAATAGAAAAAAAACCTTTTCATTAATCTTTACAAGAAAAGTTCTTGATCATGAATAAATATATTTTGAAGATAGGTAAACCAATCAAACATGTAAAATAATTTGTTCATTAGATAATGAATAGTAATTGTGTATATATTGTTAATATTAAAACTTATCATTTAGATATTTGGATATACATGATGATAGATTGAAGAATAAATTCATAGATAGCAATGTAAAATTGTATTCATTAGTAATATATTTAAGAAAGAAATAAGTTTAAATAAAACTTTTAAAGAAGAAAATAAAATTTACTACAATGGATTATTAGATCAATGAAAAGTATTCATAAAATGTTGTCAATATTTTTAAATGAAGCTCAGAAGATATAAAATGTGCTTTTGTAACACATAATTCTATCTGAAGTTTGTTCTGATGATGTCATTCAGGAGAACGATGAAAGCTTCACGATTAAACCATCCAGCTTAGAGAAGAAAACTCAAAATCAACATCATCTCTCTAAGCTAAAAAATCTTCACTATTATCTTCAATTTTCAAAAGATTATCTTTTGAAGAAATATATTGTTTCCAGATTTGCAATAAAAAGCTCGAGATTTTATGCCTAAAATAAAACGACATTTAAAAATCTGTCGGAAATGTAAAATATTATTCGCGTTATCCAAAATTTTTAATTGTTCACTGAATATACTTCATTTGATATCGCGAATGGATGAATGTTAGACCACTATTGAAAACCTGGAAGCACTGGACGCCCTTTTCGTCTTAGTATGGAACTCCGCAGCAGAAGGCATCCACGATCCAGCACGAGGGACTCGAACTCAGAGCCTTCGGTCTTGCGGGAGATTACTAGACATTAATACCGTTGAATGCCAGCTCAGCGGTTTAGAGGTTACATGGTCACATGAGAGACGGAAGGCCTTGGGTTCGAATCTCGCATCCGGAGTCGCGGATGTGCATTGCTGAGGAGTCCTATACTAGGATAAAGCGACCATCTAGTGCTTCCAGGTCTTTGATGGTGAACTAATATTCATCTATTCATGATATCAATTGAAACTTAACAATCTCCGCAACCCTATACTGAAAAATAAATATATTTCACAGTTTTTATTCAAAATCTACTTTCCTTGTAAACTATATAAATTTAAGGAATCTATCCATATTCCTGCTGATCGTTTAATAAATTTCTTAATTACTAATATATCATCTTTGATGTCTGTCAGTTAAGTAATTTTTAATAGAGTGGTGAGTTATTTTGTTAGTGCTCTCAAAATAATCACTTAACACATTTTTTTAAAGAAAGATTAGATTTTACATGATATTTACTTGTAACAACAAAAAATTTGATAGATAATGCTAAAAATATTTTTTTGGTCATCTGACCTCATAAGACCTATTCATCAGAAGAAAGTTCCAGTTATTTCTACAAATCCTAGAGACTTAAATAGAATAGGTTATACTACTTCAGCTGTCAGAGATAAAAATGAATAAAGGATTAAAGAACAGTTGATTATATCTCTGAATAGTTATTTACTAAAATTATGAAGTCTATAAACGTTTTAATGTAAATAGTAAATCATATTCCTACTATGAGCCGTCAATTCATGAGCTTTCAGTGTGAACATAGAATGAAACGAGTAGGTCGATCAAGTCTTGAGCGTTCAGTTTCAGCATTTCGCTTGAATATTTGATATATTATCAAGACGAACTATGAGTTAAGCATATGGCTTTCTCAATTGATATTTTTAACTTATTTTCTTATTTTCTTTAGAATTAGACAAAAGTAATAAACTCGTTTACTGATTTCAATATAATGGGTACTTTAATTGCTATGCATGGATTATTTAACACTGACGTTACTTTCTGTTTGTTTTCATACTTCGTTCTTATGTCATAAACATGGAGTGAAACACCTTGAATATGTTTCATATTTAAGTAAGATTTCAGTTGAATTACGCCCTAATATTTCCAACTTCTGTCTGATTGAACTAAAAATTAATAAGTATCAAGTCTTTAAGTATGTAATTTATTATTACACGCCTTAAGTACATGATTGATAGCTGATGTTCCATTAATTTGAGTTCATCAATACTTAAATATGATAAAAACGTCTATCAAATCTTGTATATGTGTTAATAGTTTTGTGTAAAATGAAGTAATTCCCATTTGTTCTGTTCCCTGAAGATCATTCAATAATGAGTCACATGTATTTGTCAATTATTAGTCTTCTTAAATGTTTAACATTCGATAACTACTGTTTCCATTCGCATATCACAGATTTCTAATTATATCAACCATGGATTTAATCGCAGTTAATTAAGTTTTATAACAAGATGTGAATTCATTAAATCCAACCAATTTCCCTTTTTTGTTGTAGTCATAGCTGAAAGTAGTTTACTTTCAAATATTCAGTGGTATATTAAACTTCACTAAAAATGGTTTTGCATAGTATTTCCACAAACATAATTTCATCATATAGACACACTTGTATATGTTTAACATTTGACATTCATAAGTACATTATATTAGATGAAAATTTAAGCACTATTGTAACAAATAAAAACATAATAGAATATGTGAAAAGTGTTTTATTTCAATGTAATTTCAGCATAAAAGGTTACCATATACGATATCTTTCATAAACACTTTTATTTATGTTTTAGACAAGTTATTTGAAGAGCATTTTAAGTGAATCATCATCGATTCGAATAAAAAGATATTACTAAACTGACTGACGAACCATAAGATCTGAAGCATGAACTAGATATTACTTTTTTTTCTCCCAAATTGTACGAGCATTCCATGTACCTAAATTAATGGATGCTATGGTTGTCAGAAAGGGGTATCAGCCTCGTGACTTCCTAAGAATCTCGGCTTTCATCATGAGGCGTCATAAATTTTCTAAATGAAGACCTTCTAACTCACAGGGCAGAGTTTAAATAGTTTGAATAATTTTTTTTCTGGTTAGCATTCTTTTAGTGAGTTAATAGGGTCACTAACCCTATGTCCAACCCTCTTCTTTTATCTGTGCTTGAGATCGGCAGAAACCCCAGAGGGGCTCCAGATGGAGTTGTGAACTATATATACCCATTCTTAATAACTGGTCGAGTAATAATGGTAATCCACTTAATTTATTACATTACAAGTATAGGCATTTTTTGAAAAGCAGTATCCTAATCCTTATTCATAAAATACAGCCAAAGATCATAGCAAAACTATTAATACTATTCGAATAACTTTAAAAATCTGTATCGTAAGCAAGTAATTATGTATCTTCTTGGCATGATCTTAAATTGTAAATACCCTTATAAGAATGAGAAGTGTATCATCATAAAACAGAGAAGAAAATCTAATAAACTCCTTGGATGATTAAACATGATTAAACATGATAACCCATTCTCAGAATATAATTTGTTTAAATTACTCCTGTTTATATAATAAGTCACATTTATAGTCAAATAATAATAATATATTAAATCTATGATTCTCTCTTCAATGTCAACAATGATTCATCTAATACAAATCTTTTTATATCACCTTATATCTTATCACAATCAAAGTAAAACAAAAAGGTAGCAAGATGTATAACTTCTGTTTATTTGTCCTTTTATTAGTTATCAATTTGATTATCTTTTCTCCTAAATTACAATAGATACACATGATTCATCAACAATGAATTCTGATTAGAATCTTTACATTTCATATGATTTTCGGAATCGTTTTTTGTTTTGTTTTATTTTTCTTGTTAGAAATTAATTACGAGTATATGCATGTGTACAATACTGTTATATAATAAGTGTTATGTAATCACAGAGTATCAAAAAAAACTGTAACCAAATATATGATGAGAAATCTTTTCGTAATGTGATGCACGTAACGATTTGACAAAAAATATGTGATATCTATAGTATACTATCTACTTATTCCTAATGATACTAAATATGGATACGGAGAAAACGATATATCTGTATGCTTGTGTAATCAGAGAAATAGATTAGTTATTTGGTTTATTAGAATGAGCCTAAATAACACGAAAATAATTTAGGATAGACCAGAAAAAATAATGAAACGTGAAATATCTTCAAAGAGATCGACCATGTAAATTTTATTGCTTTTAAATTTATAGCATATTTTGTATACATGCAGTAAATTTTCATTTCAGTTTACCGCTATATTTTAGAGGAAAAATGTGGCCGTTTTGAAAATGTTCGATCATGTTGCAAAATAAGTTATCATTATACTCATTTTATAGGGTAAGCGAAGATCATGAAATATAAATAGAACTAAATACTCAGTGGTCTTGAGGTTAGGATTTCTTGCGCGAGACCGAAGGTCGTGAGTTCGAATTCCATGAGCGGGATTTTGGATGCACACTTCTGAGGAGTCTCATACTACAATGAAATAACCGTCCAATGATTTCACGTTTTCAATGATGTTCTAACATCGATAGGCTCATTATCTCAATCAACTGGATGCATCTATATAGCATTCGTAGAATATTCGTGAAAATGTACTCATACTTTTCAAAAATACAATTAACTAAAATTTTTAATTCTCGAAATGGATATCATTTACATAAAACAGTAGACGTTGGCTTCATAGATTATAGGTACATTTAGTTTGCCTTTTATTCACAACATACTTCTCTTAATAAGTCATTCCTTTATAGTGACAGTTGAATATTTGTATATTTTTGGATAATTTGATCAAAGTATATATGTTTATATTTCTATTTGTTTTATACATAAACATAAATGATTTTGATCTTTCCTTCTTGTTACG